AAAGTTTCCTCATTTCGTCGAGTCTCATAGCTTTTTTCAGTCTTCATAATGACTATTATTTAGCTATGAAAATGTTAGAGGTTTATCACAACAGATTATTCCGTTATTTGTTTTTTTTTCGGCATACCAATTTTTTCACCAAAATCCCTTGATTTGATAGCGCTAAGTGTTCTGAGCAAATGACATTATTACATGCGACGTAACTAAATAAAAGCGTAAATAATTACGAATCACGTGCAAAAACAACTTCTTACAGGTGATTTTCTTCATGAATGTGTTATTGAGGCGGTATCTCACTACTATCAACAGAGAGTGCCTTTTATTTAAAGGTTGCCTTCTATTGCTTCCTAATCATTTATACAAAACAGCCCGTTACTCATCGATAAACTAAACAAAAGACATCAGATACGTAAATCAAAGATTTTGCTGCAGAGTTTCTGTAAGTTTTCCCTATGCAGCATCTCGCCAGTATTACCGCAATATCCTATGTATCATGCTAATAATATCGTCCAGATTTGTTTTTAGTCCGGACATTCTTTTTGATTGGATATGCACTGATTTTAAAAATGATCGGCACTATGGCATTAGAAATTAGGGTAGAGACAATCTGGACAATTGCGACAGTGCTAGATAGTAGTTTTGTCATTTTCAGTCTATCTGACTCTTCAGAAGTGCTCATATTCGTCGATTAGGCCAACTGATATTGGCAAAACTGACTTTGAAATCCTATGTCACACGTGAGGAAACGTAGTTATATGCTTGAACATGAATAAGCATAACAGTCACCATCTGACATTCACAAGTGCAGAGATGATGAAAATGTATGAGGACTATTCACAGTAGGTCTCATTTTCCATTGACGATCGGATGACGATGATAATTCTACTATTACGGATTTTCACTGTTAAGAATAGAATATTTACACGAAGTACAATACGATAAGAAATTATCTGAGATCCAAAGGACCTTACAAAACAGGAGTATTTTCCTTCAAAATTAGTTTATTCGATTCAAATCATGGAATTATGACCTTAAGAGAGGCATCTTAGACAGGATCTAGACCACAACCTCAAAGTAAACAATGCTCACTTCATTTGCCTCATATTCATATACATTTTCAACAAATTGATAATCTTCAATTGGATTTGCGGTTCGAGACTGCTTCAAACTGGCGAAATGAAATCACTTCCTCTCGTTTTGAGTGTATTCTTAGGACAGCAAGTTAAATTTCAATATGCCTGATAATGATTGTTTGAACCACGCATGTCAGTGGTCTATTAAAGAGGGCTGACTTATAGAGCGCGATACACGTGTTTCGATCTTGCGATCTCGTCAATCGGGCAGTTACCCTTTGTCGTCTTTTGTCATTCCTGAGTGGGTGCTCCAGTTCCCACACTAAGAGTAGCGACGACAAACGTTTTACACTCTATGCCCAGTGAAATTATCACCAAACACAGAGCGTTGCACACTCGATTGTTCTTGGCTAGTATATATAATATATCATATCTATCGTTTCGAGTGTTTCACTTCCCGACTGACGAGATCGTAAGATCGAAACACGTGTGTCGGGTTCCATAAATCAGCCCTCTTTGATAGACCACTGACATGCGTGGCTCAAGAAATGATTACCAGGCATATTAAAATTTGACTTGTGGTCCTAAGAAAACACTGGAAACGAAAGATATAAAATATTTGATATACCAGCCAAGAGCAATCGAGTGTACAACACTCTACGTTCGGTGAGATTTTCACTGGACATAGAGTGTAAACCTTCGTCGTCGCTAACCCTTAGTGTGGGGACTGGAGCACCCACACAGGATTGGCAATAGACGAGAAAGAGTAACTGCCAGACCGACGAGATCACAAAATTGAAACACGTGTATCGGCCTCTAAAAGTCAGCCCTCCTTGCTGCAGACCACTGACATGCGTGGCTCAAAGATGATTATCAGGCATATTGAAATTTAAGCTGTGGTCTTTAGAAAACACGCGAAACGAAAGATATGCTCGAGGATGATTCGCAATTCAATAAAGCGGTTTTTTATTTATATTTCTTGGGTATATAAATGTTTTTCACGAAGATTCCATAATTTGCTAACGCTAAGTGTTCTGGTCAAATGCATTATGATATGCGGCGTAGACAACTAACTCTGTCATAAAAACTATGCACAAAACGACTTCTTGCAGGTAATTTTCTTCAGATATATGACTTAGACGGTATCTCCCTTCCTTTTTTCAGAGTTCGCCTTTTTATCGGTGGTTATATGTGCTGCTTCTCGGCGATTATCTTCTTCATTATTTTCCTACTTACTTACCCAACATCGCCTGTAATTCGCTGAAAAAGGAATGTGCACTGCTAAACGTAGTGAAGTAAGACCGTCAGTTCACCTACCTGGCGGGGTGCACTGAACTACCGGCTTTATTCTGGCGCATCGGCTAAGGTGCTATACGAGCAGCTGAGGTAAGATGATAGTTTTGACGTCGACATATTGCAAACGTTTCCGGAGCGCCCCTTTTTTATCCACCTGGATTTGATTCCGATTGAACCTACTTGAAGTTTACATGCTACATTACGGGAAACGATGATATGCTGAACGTGAAATGCATGACACCACGTATTAATCTTGACACCGAATATCCGAAAAACGAAGAAAAGATTGTGTCTACAGTTGTTGTCCTCGATGCTGATCTTCGCTTCGTAGTCGTTCAACGAATCCTCTGCGGTGTAGCATCTCCCGAATAAAAACCCTATTTGGCAATGTCATTATTTACAAGAAGGTTATATCATAAGTGTCCGTTGAAAATGATTTTTTCTGCGGGAAATGTATCATGATTACCATTAGCAGCTTTTCAGAAACTCAGGCTTTGAAACTCTTTGGGCAACATCTGCCAGTTGTCACCAACAACTGTCTCATTTTAAGTTTCTTGGAGAAGACTGTCTGGCACGTTCCTTACTTTTCGAAAACAAATAATCAAGGCTGTTCTTCTTAAACATGTCCACAGCACTCAATCGTATGCTGTCCCAGATCTCCTCAATTCAATATCCATGAAAAGTTTGGGCTTGCAACGCAGATGTCTTCGAAAATTTATGTAAACGTATTTTCCAAAAAATAGCGCCCAGCTGTCTTAAAAATCCTTTTTTTTTTTTTGAAAACAGTCTCTGTCGTATGCAATCGCTTCTTCAAGAAATGCGCTAATGAGCCCTTGGTTTATTCTAGAAAAGATTCCTATTCCACCAAATTATTAGTATTAATTCGGTAGCTGAAATCAGGTGATTTTGAAAGATGTACTTTATTTATCAAGTGGCTTGTTTTTTGTGCTCTAACAGTCGAAATAGAATTTTGTTTCACATCTAAGAATCTCTCGCCGGATGAGGTATTTTTCTACGAACACATAAACAGTTCGATAGCACATATCGTAGATTGGGTTTCGTAGTCCAAAGAGTGGGATTTCGCAACATTGGCCTCAAGTTGCCGCGCTTTTCGCATTATATCGGTCAGTTGCAATATGCAATGTTCTTTTGAGTGCCACAGTACAGCAAAAGTTTCTCTCGAAAACAAAGTTATTACGCGAATCGTCGAGTTTTGAACTATAGACCAGTTATTATGAGCTTAGTGCAAAAGCTTTCCTCAGCGAAAAAGACGTGAGTTTAGAGGATAATTTTATTTCTACTGTTAGAACGCATTTAGAAGCCATTCTGAAAATAAGGCTTACCTCTAAAATTTCCGAGATTTCAGCTATGAAACCAACTAGACTCAGTAGACGTGCTTTACCAATAGGTTAAAACAAGGTGCGGACATCTAAAGAGAATTCAAATTTGCAAAGCGTAATCTTCTAGGGGCTGTTACAGCGCTCTAAGGAGTCCTTTCCAGAAACCAAGCACACCGTTGAAATTATAAAGATCTGCTCTATTTGAAAATCATGAACTACGCATGAAAAAAGTTTTATACTGTTGGAAATGCTTGAATGTGGAATAAAATCTTATTTCGACTGTACAGCGCAAAGAACAATCCATTGAAGAAATTGAATGAGTCGTTCAAATTTACTTGATTTTAGCTATCGAATAATTCCCGAAAAGTTTTACAAAAGTTAAAAATACGTTTTTACGAAACGGCTCAAACAGGGTGATGAAACGGAAAAGTACCGTATTACTCCATCTCTTCTTCGCATGCCATAGCTATGAATAGAAAGTTCGAACAAAATTACGCGTTAGGCTGCGAAATGGGAGCCTGAAGTGCATGAAAATCAAAAAAAAATTTTTGAGAATTATCAATGAAGGGGAATGACATGCGATAAGCAGCACTATACTGACGAATTATTCATTTCTTTCGTTTTGAGTGTTTTCTTGAGACCACAGCTCAAATTTTAATATGCCTGACAATCATTCTTTGAGCCACGCATGTCAGTGGAAAGGGTAACTGCCCGACTGCGTGATCGCAAGATCGAAACACGTTTATCGGGCTTTATAAGTCAGCCCTCTTTGATAGACCACTGACATGCGTGGCTCAAATAATGATTATCAGAATCAATCATTGTTTTCCAATTTTTACCCAGCATGATGAACTTAATGTGCTCTATGTGCAGTGAGATATATGAAAAATTGGAAGAAATAACGCACAACTATGAGTGAATAAGGGGTGAATTAAATAAAATATCACAGGAATAAAGCACATGTGGCGCAGTGGTTAGAGGTGCTCTGCGTCGCACACGAGGTCAATGGTTCGATCTCGCCCTCATGGCTCACCAAGCCATCCATCCCTCCGGGGTCGGTAAATCGGCACCAGACTGGTCTCAGACTTGTCTGGGAGGATAAGCAGCACTGACTCGGTTCAGCGGGAGGCCTCCGCGAGCCATTGTAAAAGCCAGATATGCATTCAATCACCTCAAACGAAGTTAGAAATTGAAGTCGAATGCATAGCGCATCCCTCAGGGATTGATCAACGCCTAGAGCTTTATCCTTTATCCTTTATCACAGAAATATGAAGAGTGGCGGTCGTTACGGGCGTCAGTAGTGCAGCGGGTTAGAGCACGGGCTGCGAACCAGAGTGAGATACGGGTTCGAGTCCCGGCTGACGCAAAAGTTTTGTACGTCACTCTACATCACTGGGTATAGAAGCTCTAATAAAGCTCTCGGCGTTGATCAATTCCTGAGGGATGCGCCATGTATTCGGCTTCAATTTTCAACTAATTTGAGGTGACTGAATGCATATCTGGCCTTTACAATGACTCGTGGTGGCCTCTCGCTGAACCGAGTCAGTGCTGCTTATCCTCCCAGACAAGTCTTAGACCTGTCTGGTACCAATTTACCGACCCCGGAGGGATGGGTGGCTTGGTGAGCCATGAGGGCGAGATCGAACCATTGACCTCGTGTGCGACGCAGGCAACTCTAACCATTGCGCCATATGCGCTCATTGGGCATACCATTGAAATATTCGACTAAAGTTCTAATTATAGCCTCTGCATAAATACTTTCCCCCTTAAGAACGTGCTGACCCAGTTCGCCTCCCACACCTCCTTCAGAGCACTGAGAACCTGTGAGGAGCCCCCGGCCACCCATCCCCCTTCCCCCCTCGTAACAGCGAGACCCAGGGCAGAGACGCAGAGCACGTGCTCTGTCCGTCTGCCGCCGCGCAGTCCGCGAACGCAGCTAGTCAGTGTTCGTTCTGTTTTCTGCCCTGGTGGGAGGTCCGCTTTCCTCCTTCAGTAACTCTCGTTAGTGCTGCAGCAGTACCTCTTTGCTGTTCTTCATGTTCTACTCGTCAGTGCACAGTAGTGTTCTGTAACATCTCCACTAGGCCTAGTCGTGTATTGGTGCTGCTTTGTGGTGTAAATTGACGACATATTGGTGAGTTGGTCGAACGCGGTCAGTTTCGATGGATTGGAGCACTCTTGTTGTCGGCCAATTTAACACTCTTCGATGGTCGTTGGACTCACTGAAGGGAATACTGCAAGGATTCCGGTTGTTTTTCTCGACTTGGCCTGGTGCCAGAGCACTAAGGGTAGAACTTATGAAGACTGCAAACGGCAGTCAATCGATTTTCGCAAGCTGCGCGCAATTTTTTTATTTAGTAGTGATTTTTTTCCCTTCATTCTGCGAGAACCTTCAGGTTTCGTGTGCTACTTTGATATTCACGATTTCTTCTAGGTGCTCTTGCACTTTTTGTGTATGTATAACTCTTACGTGCTAAGAATACTTCGAGTGTGAAAAGAGACCTTTTTTTTGCTCCTACAGTGCATTTTGACGACCTTCTACGAAACCTAATTGAGCTCCCGATCCACCGAGATTTGTGCTATCGAATGAATGTCAATATAACTTAGTGAGAAACCATCAAAAGGCCCGTAACTTCCTATCTCCGCTAGGCCCAATGTATTTGTGCCTTTGATCGAACGCGGTCAGTTTCGATGGATTGGAGCACTTTTGCTGTCGACCGCTCTCACCACTCTTCGATGTTGTTGAAGTTACTAGTAATGGCTTAGGTGATCTAATACACTGCAAGAGTTTTCCTGCTGCTGCCTCACGAACGGCCCTTCTATTCAAAGCTTCCGCAAGATTGATATGTGAGCGATGCCACCTTTTTAGAGCCGTTTTGTCATTTGTAACTTCGTGATTTGTAATTATAAGTGCTAGTTTTGTAAGAGAAGCCCGTATGGCGCTGTGGTTAGAGATGCTCTGCGTTGCACACGTGGTCGATGACTCGATCTCACGCCCATAACTCACCAAGCCTTCCGTCCTTTCGAGGTCGATAAACTGGTACTAGACTTCTCTGGAAAGATATAGCCTGGCTTGATACATTCTTAAGCAACCCAGAGTCATTGTAAAGGCCAGATGTGCATCCAATCATCTCGAACGAAGTTCAAAAAGAAGACGAATGCACGGCGTCTTGCAGGGATTGATCGTTGCCTAGAGCTTTATTCTATATACTTTGATTTGTAGCGTGAATGATCAGTGGCCGAGTGGCTAGTGAATCTCGGCGCAGTTCGAAGAGAGGCTGATCCTCCCCAACCCAACATCGCCCGGCAATCAGTAACGAACACTCCAGCCTGGTTATCCCCACGATTGCAGGACGATGTGCTCAGCCATATTCTACGACTTTCATGAAGTGACAAATTGTCAGTCAAGCGAAGAATCGGAGAAGCGAATTGAACGCTGGAAGTTCTGGGATCTGCAGTGAGAAAGCGGTAATGCGGATGAAGAATGAAAGAACTCTTACCTGACGAAACGGCGCTAAAGAAGCGGTCGTCGAAACATCAGTCATAGAGGTTTTGGGGAATGTATATTAAGCTCGCGGAAGCCTTAAATACGTCAGTCCGTGAGATGTTCTCAATCCCTGCTTTGTTTGTTGATGGCAGCCTGAAAGTTCTTGCAATATTCTATGGTGGAAATGCTTCGACAGCGTTTAAATAGACTTGAAAGTCTCATATTGAACTGGTTAATTGGAATATCTATTAACAGATGCTGTCAAATAGAAACAATGGATTCAGTCTTAACCTCGTAGTCTTAACAGGCCTTCTGCCTTAGACGGGACTGAAACGGATAATGAAAGGTATTAGAGGGAAGTTAGAACACCGTTGTCGTCTTTTAACTCAATAAGGGTTTTTCTCGTCTTTTTTCTGCTTGATATGTTTCGTTCATTCTATTGATTTGATTCTGTCCGTCCATATGAAGGAGAGATTGGAACAGGTGATTTCCGTTCAATTTTTCAGTCCTTTAGGATCATGAGTGAAGCCGAGCGACTCAATGAAGTTCGCGAGAGGAAGGCTAAGAACCCGATGAGGGAGATGAAGATTCAGAAACTCTGCCTCAACATCTGTGTAGGAGAGTCAGGTGATCGGCTTACTCGTGCTGCAAAGGTAACCAAGCGCTTTGAATTATCTGCAATACACATTTTCATTGCTGACTTCAGATCAACTTAGGTATTAGAACAGCTGACCGGTCAGACTCCGGTCTTCTCCAAGGCGAGATATACTGTTCGCTCGTTTGGAATCAGAAGAAATGAGAAAATAGCCGTACATTGTACAGTACGTGGACCAAAAGCGGAGGAAATCTTGGAAAAAGGCTTGAAAGTCAAGGAGTTTGAGTTGCACAAGGAAAGCTTCTCGGACTCGGGGAACTTCGGTTTTGGGATCCAGGCAAGAAGTTTCATCTTACTCTTACTTCTGCTGCGATAGACCTGCGAGACTATTCCTTGAACCGTATCAAAGGTGATCCACTACTATACTGTATTTCAGGAACACATTGACCTTGGAATCAAATACGACCCAGCTATAGGAATCTACGGAATGGACTTCTATGTGGTGCTGGATCGTGCTGGTCGTCGTGTTGCAATCGTAGGCGTGCTCCGGGTCGTATCGGACCATCTCATCGAGTAACACGCGACGAAGCAGTCAAATGGTTCCAGCAAAAGGTATGCCGCATTTTTGGCTATAGTCCAGTTATTCATGGTCTTTCAAGACAGTTTTCATTTAGTACGACGGTATTATACTGCCACCGAGACCCAAGGTGAAGCGCTCCGTTCATCGCAGACGTTGAATCATCGTTCTTTGTTTCGTTATGACATATGAACTGTTGATCGTTTGTGTTGTTCTTATCCTAGTTAAAGATGTTTAAATTATTGTTGTTGCTTAATAGATCGTGGAAGTGGAAAGTAGCAAGACGACTTGGTAATCTTTGGTCCTTAATGGTTATCTGCATCAGCAGAGACACAAAAAACATGAGATCGAGTTTGATTATGACGTTTTTGAAAACTAGTCATTTTTAACAATAAGCACGGACTTTACCAGAGCATAGAAAAGTTTAGTAGAACTTCAGTCCAAGCATCGCGAATGCATATCTAGCCTTTGCAAAGATGGTGGGCCAACAACGTATCACATCAGTGCTGTCATCCTTCCAAACAAGTCTGAGACCAATTCATTGACACCAGGGAGATGAACGGCTTGGTCAGCTCTGGGTGTGGGATCGAACCATTGACCACGTGTAGCCTCTGGTCACTGCCCGCACGCGATCATTGCAATTGAGTGCCAAGAGTCAAGCGTAAGATTTATCACATCATGGTCTAGCGGATCGGAGGTTGGGGCGCTTTGTCCATGCAGATGAACGATCCTGTCATGATGGAGTTCAGTCTTCGAACTTGAAGGATGAAGCTCTCAGCGTTGAACAATCTCTGGGGAATGCGCCATGTACTCGTCTCAAATTTTTGGCTGCGTTTAGGGTGATTGAAAGCATATTGGCCTTTACAATGACTCGTGATGGCTTACCGCTGTATCGAGTCAGTGCCGCTTATCCTCTGAGAAAAGTCTGGCACCAACTCCCCGACACCGTAGAGATGGAAGGCCTGGTGAGCCATAAGCGCGCGATCGAACCATCGGCCTTGTGTACGACGGAGAGTACCTTTACCCATTGAAACAAGGCAATTGGCCAACAAATGGTGAGGTTTCTCCGGAGTAATAAGAGCGATTCTTGCCCAAATTCACTTCCTGTCGAGCTTCCCGCTGGAAATTTTGAGTTGCTTTTTGGGTTAGGTAATCCGGGAAAAAGGATCCATACTGTATCACTCATAGTTCGACTACAACTACTTGCTTTGTTAAGCTAGAGCCTCACAAATCTTTTACCGCCTCATCGTGGCTAGGAGGTGTTCTGGGTGTTGGACTGCGAGATACAGCAGGGTTCAAGTCCCCAGCATGGTCACTCAAAGTGAGAACAAGTCCGGCGTTCCCATCCGGAAAGCCCTAGGAGATAATCGTACCAGGACTGACCACCGTCCTGGTAGCTACTAGTCGTAAGGTGGTGACTCCCCTCTGGTCCACGAAGGCTGGCGACTCCGCTAATGCGGTGACGCCTGAGGGATCCCACCCCCTCCCTCCTCCTGGGCTTATGTCGGAACTCTAAGGGAACCAAACAGCTAAATGGGCACATTTCGTGAGCTGGGTTCCGTACAACTTGTGAAGACGCACCGTCCAAGTATCCAAGTAAGTGAGCCATTAGAGCGGAGCGGTAGATCACCAGCGGGACTGAGACGTATTTTTTTAAACCAATCTCACCGACGAAAAATTCAATTTCCCTAAGCCTGTGAGGCAGTG